TATATATATATATATATATACTCTTATATACTCTTATTTTGATAACCACAGTTATCAAAATAAGAGTGACAATGAACTCAAATGGCCAGTTTTTCCATCAATCACATCATAATCACCTGATCCAACAGCTGCATTAAGTAGAGGGACTCTTTAAATTGTATAAAGGACAAGATAAAAAAAAGAATAGCAGATAACCATAGGTTAAGAGGTTACTGTACATATATACAAACAAAACCTAAAACAGTGGTGAACCTTCAGAGGTGACCAAAAAATAAATCAGAACAGCATCCAAAGCACTACAGGCCTCACTTGTCCCTGGTAAGACCATGTTTAAGACGTTATTAAAATGCCATTCATGGTAGACTTCTGAGGCTAAAAGACACTGCTGACCAAAAAGAGAACACAAGTCTCACATTTCCTAAATGGATTGTTGGCATGTATTCATATTACAAATATATCTTATGTGTAAAAGTTTGGACTCAAATACCAACCCTGACAGAAACACCTGAGACAAAAATGAAAGATGGTTGGAAAAGATGGCCTACTTACACATAATCTTTGGACGTGGGTCGGTAGTAGAAGGCAGGTACAATCTGTTCATACTTGGCCTTGGCAGCAATGTTCCCTACAGAATCTAAAAACTGGAAAGAAGAGAAAAAATTAAAAAAAGGCTGAGCAGCACTCACTATGCTGACTCATAATTAGCCCATGTGACAGGGACTATTGTGATGCCTAAAAGGGACACTATCATTACAGACCTAGAAAGTGTAGTTTATTAGCAATAGGGTTTGGTTTAGCTGATATATGCTGAACCGTCAAAGTAAGATTAAAACAAAAGTCTACTTCTCCCATCAGATTTTATTTCATTCTGTGATGGCCTCAATGTAGCATTGTTTTCAAACTTTGGTATAGTTTTCACTGCTGGAACTTGAGCTGCTTTTAATGAATCTCAGTGGATATTTAATTCAAATTTATTTAAAATAATGACACATTGGAAACCCGCTGTAAGCTAAAGCTAATAAACCAAAAGAACTAACAGAACAGTAGGTCGGCACACTAATCCATGGTTAAAACATAAGAAACTCCAAAAGGAAATTTTTAAACCACGCCCTGTTCCAACAGAGGACAACACTGAATAGAAATATAGCATAAAAGGCTATTTCTGTTGGGATCCTTTTCTCCTGGAAAATATACCGCATTTTCATGACCATAAGGCGCACCGTACTAAAGGGCGCAGTCTCAATTATGTGTGCCATTACTGTATTTAACACACCCATAAGGCGCACCGGATTATAGGGCGCAGGTTTTATATACCGGTACATATACTCTACTATGTTTAAATACCTCTACTGCATTTTTTAAAATAGAGCGGGAGCAAAACTGAGTGTGTTTGTGCTTTATTCATGTATTTATTACAAAGTATTAATCAAACCTGGGAGCTGGCTGTGAGACAGACACATCGCTGATGACACAGAGCGCTGTGATAGCTCTTTTGAAACAGTTTATTGACGCATAAATTAACTTAAAATGCAGAAATCTGCCGGCAGAATATGTTCGCTTTTATTATCCTGGTGCCTGCAGTTTAGATTATTTAGATGAAAAACACCTACCAGCTGTCGCGGTGAACCGCGAGGAGGCGACCGCTGTATGTGGGGGTCTG